AGTCACGTTAAGTGTCCAATATGATCCACAATACATCCAATTTTTGGATGTCACAGTATACAAGGAAGATGGTAAACTTAATTCACCCTACATTGGAAGAAAACCAACCGGAATACCTTACTGATGGCTTCAAGTTTCCACCCACAGCAGTTCAAAAAGTCATTGCCCATATCCCAATTTCTAAGGGTTCTTAGATACAACACCGAAACAGAAAAACGCGATACCCAGATAAAAGAGATGTGGGAGAAGTTCAGAGAACGATACCAACCACATGTATTTAAAATGGCACAAACCAAAGCATTGGATATCTGGAACCGGGAAAGATCTATGCCAAGAACTGAGAATCTACCTAAAAAAACAAGAATTTATCTTCCAATCACATTCCATACAGGTACATCCAGAATAAGACAATCTATTTACAAACACTGGGGAATGCTACGATCTGATAAAACATTGCAGAGTATGTTCCAAGAGACACCGATCATAAGCTACAAAAGAAACAAAAACCTGAAGGACCTTTGGTGAAAAACGATCCGACATTATGTTACCGCAAACCAATGCCGATCTCCAAGAAGGGATGTTACAAATGCAGTGGATGTGTGACCTGTGGTCACATGGTCAGTGGTGCGACCTTTGCACACCATCAGAGTGGCCAAAGAATCAAAATACCACATTATAACTTGTACCACTGACCATGTGATATACATGATCACGTGTCCCTGCGGTCTCGCTTATGTGGGTAAAACCAATTTGACAGTACGGGATCGTATACGAGGACATCGATCCACTATAATGACTGCATTCAGAGATCAACACAGCGACAAACCTGTCGCCAAACACTTTTTGAGTATGGAACACAGACTCCCTACCTTACGGTTCATTGCCATTGACCATATCCCCCCGATGCCTAGAGGAGGTGATAGATCCAAAATGTTGTTACAACGTGAGGCTCAATGGATACATCGACTTGACACTGTTGCACCCAAAGGTCTTAATGAAAACATAGTACTCTCCATGTTCCTGTAATATATCTATATATTTTTTTCTGTATATAGTTTTTTCCACAGATATTGGTTTCTTGAATCGGGATCATGTAGCAGTCCTTAGAGGGTTAGTGATATAATATATGAATTATTTACAATAATCCTTCTTGTCTTTTACAAATCTTTTCTCTTCTAATTAATATCTATCTCCATGACATAACATGTTCTTTCTTTTCCTCATGACATTTATTATGGATAGACTATGATATTATCAAACTATGACTGAAGAACAATACCTCCTAGTTAGTTTTTATTACGGTTACCTCCAGGCTAGCTGGAAGCTGGACCGCTTGAATAGTCTGGTTCCCCAGTGTAGAGAGAGAGAAGAGCCGCTCCAGTCAGTATAACACAAGAATCCTGTAAATGTAGAATAATCCCACTAGCTATAGTACAGCTAGGATACCCTTTTACCCACAAAATGAGTCGAGGCTGTGATTTGAGGGTCAAGAAAGAACTGGCTTTAATGGCACACAGGTATCACTATTTATGCAAAATCTCAGGTCCAGGGACAGCCCCCTCTGGACCTGATGGGATACAGGGACAATGCAAGCAGTTAACCAATAGAAACACAATGTATCTTTTGAAATTGTTACCGCCCAGCTTGGAGATAATGAATCCAACGATTATGACAATGTAATTATCTCCAAGCGCCCAAAATCCCACGTTTACTTGCAACATACAAAACAGTATAAAAATACATAACTTTAGCATTTTAGTAGACAATTTGTGCATTCTACCATTCATTATGTAGCCTAGATTTGAGCGCAGCAGATAGTCGAATAGCGCTCAGAACTCACGAACGGTATGGTTAGTTTCATCAATATAAAGTCTGTTCGTGTCTTTTGTCCTGAACCTGAGACGGCGGCCATGTTTTCAGGTGAGTTAATGGGCAGCGGGATCTCGACCCCAAACTCATGGAACGAGTAGCGGCCAGGGGTTTACACGAATCCCCGCCGTTTGGGAAACGAACGGAGACCGCCGGGAAGGGGTAATTAACTTGTGGTTAACCGCAAAACCAACATTCTAATTGAGGCCATACTCCAGGATGTAGGTGGTCCTCATTCGTGAGTCTTTTGGTAGTTTTAGTTCGGGAAATAGTGCACGAACGGAAATGCCCTGGGACCGTCAATTAGGCTGTGGTTAACCGCAGACCGCAGCTCCCTTGGCAATTAGAGACACGCTCCGCTCATTGGGTGGTCAGCTGTTCGGGTATTGGAAAGGTGACAAGGGTTAAGTGGCGGCACACGCCACGGGCCGGGTGGTCCGTTGTTTGCATACACGAATGGGTAACAGGAAATTGGTTCTGGGATTAGGTTACACAGTTAAAATACCGAAACAAGGTTCTGTGTGGAAACAGAAAAGAGCAATATTGTAACAGTCTTTAGAGCTTTTGTAGCAGTGCTCCCTCCTTGTTGAACACGCTGGCAGACACCGTCTGACCCCTTTTCGGGGCAGACTAAAGCTATCCAGACCGGTGGTTATGCTGGGCTGAGGTCTGTTTGTCGGGATAACCCGTCGGCGTTGCCATTCTGCTTTCCGGGTCTGTATGTAATAGTGAAGTTAAATGGCTGTAAAGATAAGCTCCAATGTAAAAGTCTGCCATTGTCCCCAGAGACCCGGTTTAGCCACACCAACGGTTATGGTCTGTAACCAGAGTGAACTCTTGTCCATACAAGTAGGGAGTCAGTTTCTTTAGTGCCCACACCAGGGCCAAACACTCCTTTTCCACTGCGGCATAGCTGACCTTGCGTGGTAGGAGCTTACGGCTGATGTAGGCAATTGGGTGCTCCCCTCCATCTTCGCCTACTTGGCTGAGGACGGCCCCCAGCCCGAACATGGAAGCGTCTGTATGGACGATAAAACGTTTGTTAAGGGCTGGGGCCACTAAGACAGTAGCGTTAACAAGGGCAGTTTTAAGAGCCTGAAAAGCAGTTTCACAGTGGGGAGACCACAGGACCTGTCGGGGAAGGTTTTTCTTAGTTAGGTCGGTCAACGGTTTGGCAATAGTGCTGTAGTCTGGTACGACGCACCTGTAGTACCTTGCTGTGCACCAGGAAGGCTAGGGCCTGGGTCTTAGTGGTGGGGGTGGGCCAATTGGTGACGGCTTCTATCTTTGCTGGCTCCGGTCGCTGTTTTCCACACCCCACTCTGTGACCCAGGTACTGTACCTTGGCCATTCCAAGATGGCATTTTTCTGACTTCAGAGTCATGCCACCGATCCGAATCTGATCCAGGACCATTCCTACATGAGCTAAATGTTCCTCCCAGGACTCACTGTGGATCGCTATGTCGCCCAGGCAAGCGCAGGCAAAGCCCTGGAAGCCATCCAGGAGTCTATCCACCAAGCACTGGAATGTGGCGGGGGCATTCTTCATCCCGAACGGCATTACCTTAAAGTGGTATAAGCTGAACAGGGTGACGAATGCTGACTTGGGGATAGCGTCTTGGGCCAGGGGAATTTGCCAATAACCTTTACAGAGGTCAATGGTAGTTAGGTAGTTTCCCCTGGCTATATGATCAAGTAGCTCGTCTATTCTGGGCATAGGGTAGGCGTCAGTCACTGTCTTATCATTGAGCTTCCGATAATCCATGCAAAATCGGGTAGTTCCATCCTTCTTGGGTACCAGGACTACTGGAGAAGCCCATGGACTATTGGAAGGCTCAATAACCCATAGCTGGAGCATCTCGTCGATCTCCTTCTTCATTTCAGTCCTAACTGCCTCTGGGATTCTGTAGGGGGCCTGTCTTAGGGGTTGCTGCCCCGGGGTATCCACCTGGTGAGTTGTCAGGGTAGTGTACACAGGTTTTTGGGAAAATGTAGAGCATTTGACTTGGAGTAGCTGGTTGAGCTGCTCCCTCTCAGTGGAATTAAGTCGGTCTCCTATCTTGACCTGGGTCACTAGGTCCGAGTGGGGGGTATTCTCTAATAAGTCCGGGATCAGTAGGCTGTCAGGGTCTTTGTGTGGGGGACAACAGACAGCTGCCACGTTTTCTGGTCTCTATAAGTACTCTTTGAGCATGTTAATGTGGAAGCTTTTCCTAAGATTGTCGTCGTGGCAGCTAGCTATAATGTAGATGATGTCTCCCCTCTTTTCTACAACCTGGTAAGGACCTTGCCAGGAGGCTTGTAGTTTATCTGTCTTAACTGGTTTAAGCACCAGTACCTATTGCCCTATGGCAAAGGTCCTTTTCCGTGCTCCCCGATCATACCATACTTTCTGTCTTCTCTGGGCCGACTGGAGGTTAGCCTGAACGGATTTGGCTAGTTGCTCCATTCGGTCCCGGACTTCCAGCACGTATGGTACAATGGGGACTCCGGCATTCTCGGTCTCTTCCACCCAGTGTTCCTGGATCAGGTTTAGGGGTCCCCGTACCTTGAGTCCGTAGAGCAGCTCAAAGGGAGAGAATCCTGTCGTTTCCTGGGGCACCTCTCGATATGCAAACAGGAGGTGCGGTAGGACGCGTTCCCAGTCCCTATACTCCTGTGTAGAAGTTTTGAGCATTTGTTTGAGGGTCCCGTTGAACCTTTCACAGAGCCCATTAGTCTGGGTGGTGGTAGGGGGAGCTAAGGAGAGACTTGATCTTGATCAGTTATGACAATGTAATTATCTCCAAGCGGCCAAAATCCAAGTTTTCTTGCAACATACAAAACAGTATAAAAATACATAACTTTAGCATTTTAATAGACAATTCGTGCATTCTACCGTTCATTATGTAGCCCAGATCTGAGCACAGCAGATAGTCGTATAGCGCTCAGAACTCACGAACGGTATGGTTAGTTTCATCAATATAAAGTCTGTTCATGTCTTTTGTCCCGAACCTGAGACAGCGGCCATATTTTCAGGTAAGTTAATGGGCAGCGAGACCTCGACCCCAAACTCATGGAACGAGTAGCGGCCAGGGGTTTACACAAATCCCCGCTCTCCTGATAGTTGTCCCAGCCGTTCGGGAAACGAACGGAGACCGCCGGGAAGGGGTACTTAACCTGTGGTTAACCACAAAACCAACATTCTAATTGAGGCCATACGCCAGGATGTAGGTGGTCCTCGTTCGTGAGTCTTTCGGTAGATTTAGTTCGGTAAATAGTGCACGAACGGGAATGCCCTGCGACCGTCAATTAGGCTGTGGTTAACTGCAGACCGCAGCTCCCTTGGCGATTAATTAGAGACACGCTCCGCTCGTAGGGTGGTCGGCTGTTCGGGTATTGGAAAGGTGACAAGGGTTAAGTGGCGACACACGCCTCGGGCCGGGTGGTCCGTTGTTCGATACACGAATGGGTAACGGGAAATCGGTTCGGGGATTAGGTTACACATTTAAAATACCGAAACAAGGTTCTGTGTGGAAACAGAAAAGAGCAATATTGTAACAGTTTTTAGAGCTTTTGTAACAGTTATATTATTCAGTCATATTTAATATCATTTAACATTAGTAAACATTTTGTTGTTCACTAATTGGTATAGATAATCTCTAATCTTCCTTGGTAATAGATTATCACCAGTAATATAATTTAATCATTAATAGAATACTATCCGTTAATATGTTCACATGTACATACCTTGTTTATAGTTTTTATTAGGTATTAGTCAAATCCTAGCTACCTTCTAGCTAGTTAGTGGCAATGCTTTTTCTTGAACTAACGAATCCTTGATCTTATTAATTATTCTCCTGAATACCAAAGTCCTTCTTATTTCTCTATATATATCAGCACCACATGGATGTTCATCTTGGAAATGTTTAACATGCTAGCATAATGCTTTGTAATATACATCATGCTTAATGCTTTTTCCATTTTGTCTTCCCTCATGTATTTTTAGATGTTTTTTTTAGAAAGTATAAATTTTTCTGCTAGATTATATTCTGCATTGAGACGATGTTTAAATTGAGATGTGTTCACGTTTGCCCAGCACTTATTTTTCCATACACATTTTTTCTGCACATTGTTTTATTTACTTCACTAGTTTAAACATCACCCTGTCATTACTTTATATAGTTGGGGGATTGCACAACCGGCTATTCTGATTATGTATAGAACACACAGATCCACATATCTAATTATGACCATGGAAACAGACACCCACAATCTAATCACTTGTTTAACTCGTATCTTAGCAACTGATAGCACGTCATCACCTTTGCATCACGGCACTTCACGTGATCGTGGGTACACAAGGAGGGATTGAGGGAGCTTTTCCACTATTGGTGAGTACACTCTTATATTTGCTATATATTGACTGTATGTATTAAGGTACATTGATCGTTAGGAAGACCCGAACGTGTCGAAACGTCGGTCGGATGATGTAAATACCTTTATTTAAATAAACACAGATTAATTGATTTAAAAGACCTTAGAGTGCATCTCTTACTCTTCTATATATATTCCATAATGTGGGATTGCACCAAGGCACAAGTAGATTTACTGAATTGGAGACAGGGTGAGTGCCAAGCTATTTATCTTTATATATATATATATGTATATATATATATATATATATATAAAAATATAAAAAAATACCGGCACTCTAGGCTTTGTTCATCCGATTTATTCTTAATTAATTCTGAGATGTCAACATTTCAGCTCCCGGTCGGAGCTTTCATCAGGACACATAAAATGGCATACATTAAAATGACAAACTTATAAAGGACATGTTAGCCAATACTCACTCACCAAATCAGCTGTATCACATCACCCCTGATGCCTGGCTTGCACTCAGCGCTTATGCGCATGTCTGCCTTTCGTCAAACCACTCCCCCGTCAAGGAGTAGCTGTAGTCAATCGGCATCTGTGGCTACGTCACAGTCCCATGGCAACCGTTTGTTACAACCTCCGTCTCCTTTTGCGGCGATCCGCCAGCCCAGTCCATGACGTGGGTTTGTTGACGTTGCTATACGTGAATATGGATACAGATGTATCCTTTACAATATTGTTACTATATTTCAAATAAGAGAAGCTTTTCTTTCGCCTTCATAATCTCACGTATGTAACTGTCCTTGCCTCACGGTCTGAAAACATAATAATAAAAGCATAATAATGAATAATGTTGTGAGCGTAAACATATATATATATATATATATATATATATATATATATATATAATACACAAGATCCAGCGCACTCACCTATCCACTAAACAGCAACTTCAATGTTGAAAGATTTTATTTGTTTTTTTAAAAACACCTAATCTAGGCAAAAATAATGGGGGTTTAGTTACATTATATGATCATACATTGCATAAGCCTGCCACAACGTCAATGTACCCCATCTTTGGCAGGTCCTACACTAACAGCCTAATGTCTGCTCTTATGAGATTAACCTACTTGGGGGAAAAAATTCCATTCAGTACAAGGCTGAATAGGGCCCTGGGATGAGGCACCTGTGACAGGGAGGGGTGCAAAACCAAGATGTTGGCTAGACTCCCAAATATATATATTGTGATAAAGTGAAGGCAGATAGGCCTTTTAACCCCAGGGGAAGTACGTGTAGTTTGTGTGTTGCACAACACAAAGCATTGTTTAGTTATGGGCCCCTGGGGTGGAGCATTTGGAGAGAAGGGTGGGCCAATGCTCCACTCCACTGTTTAGTGGTTTTCTGGGGAGACATGGATCCAGGCCAGGGTTTTTTGGATCGTCTCCAACCCACTGCTCAGCTGCAGTTAATGAGCTGTTGCAGTGGGAATAAACTCCTCCCTGCTAGGCAGGTAAAGGAGAGGGATTGCTGGTTTCCTCCCAGGAAGCAGGTAGGAGAGAGAGGCTGTTCTCTCCAGATAGAGTCAAGGAGACTAGGCACTTGGAGTGCAGAAAGGAAGCAGTCAGGGCAAGGCTGGCTTGGAGCACTGGGAGTGCAGAAAGGAAAGCAGTCAGGGCAAGGCTGGCTTGGAGCACTGGGAGTGCAGAAAGGAAAGCAGTCAAGGCAAGGCTGGCTTGGAGCACTGGGAGTGGAGAAAGGAAAGCAACAGGCTAGCTAGCAGAGTGTTGCTATCTAGTAAGGTTGGTGCCATATGTTTTTGTTAGTTTAACCCTGATAGAGAGGGATATACAAAGTGAGTTAGTGCTCAGACGAGCTAGGTTTTTTGTTTATAGGGTTTTCTGTTACAGTTATGTTTTTCATTTACTGCTGTATCCTGTGTGGATTTTCAAATAAAGTGCATGGAGTATATGCAATTACAAGGACTGTGCATGTTTTTGCCCTAGAGGACCGTGCTACCTGCTGACAAGGATCACAATATGGTGGAGAATGCGGGCACAGTAGCACAGTGAGGGTCTGTGGGTGTGCCAGTCATCTGGTAGTCTGCTTGAGGACTTTTATTTGCAGACCTGTTTAAAAAAAAAACAAAAAACAAAAAAAAAAAACAGCAAATTAGTAGCACTGTACCTTTAAGACTGTTACCTGCTTGGTGCTATAATGGAGGACCTGCTGAAAGCTCTGGTACAGGCAACCACTGTACAACAAGAGGCAACTGCTATACAACAAAACACCAACCATTTCCTGGCTGCACAGATTAAGAAACTGAGGGATGCTCAGCAGGAGCACAGAGCTGCACTTACTGAGGTTTTACAGATTGCCCCCTGCAGTGAGAGTGGGGACAAGGGACCCCGTAACCAAGCTACTGACATCCTGCATAAGATGACAGAGGCAGTAGAAGAAGTCTTTCGCAAGCTGAAAAGCATGGAGGCAGCAAAGCATGATATTGAGAAACATGCAGAAGAAAGAGAACAGGAATTAGAAGGCAAGAAGGATGAAATTGAGCCTAAAAGTAGTGATAAAATGGAAGAGGGTGAAAAGCCAGCTGGATCCTCCAAGGAACAAAAAGAAGAAAAGTTAGTTAAGAGTCCAGCAAAGCTAAAGGAAAAAGCAGAATTGCCAAGAGGCAGTGATGGTGACACTGATGACATGCGCCAGAGTAAGAAAGAGCAGAAGAGTCAGAAGGGAGATCGAGACAAACTGATTACTGAAGTTGACAAGTGTTCTATTGAAAATCAAAACATTGCAGCTTCACCTGAAAGCCTCAAACGTGCTTGGAGTGGCATCACCACAGATGAAGAGGACTTGGAAAAAGAGTCGGGAACAAAGATATTTTCACGCTCAGAAACTGAATCTTGCATGTTTCAAGAGAATGCTGGAAAGACATTTGAAAACAGAAAGGTACTGATAAACCTTCCCAAGGTAACGAAAGGAGAAAGAGAGACTGTGACTGAGGCCAGCAGTGTCCAGCCGGTTTGTGTAATAAAAAGTGAAGCAGAAGCCGCTGATGTTCACCCAAGTGAACAAGTCAAAGGCATGAAAAGCAGACTGACTTGGGGAGTCAGAGAAGACAACCGCAAAAGAGCTGAGCTTAATAGAGAGAAGCAAAGCACCCCAGCTGAGTATAGCAATGCGGTGCACTGTTTAGTAGCCGAGGCTACCCAAGAATGTCGACCTGTTGAACAGTTTGGCAGAGAAAAGCAAGGCAGAGAAGTAGTGGCAAAACTAAGTCAAAATAAGAAAGGCAAAGTAGCTGCTTCTGATCTAAGCCAAGAGAGAGTGACAGTTACAGAACCAAGCTGTGGTAATAAGATTAGCACGTCCACGGCTAAGCCCAACCAAAGGGAAAGTGACAAAGTAGATGACATTGGCGTAGCTGAATTAAATATTTCAGACACACCTGGTATTGCTACAAATACTTTGAATGATTGTCTGGGAGCCGTAGAACTTGAGCTGCTGGCAAAAACTACTCCTACACGGCCTGGGCGCACTGACTACCTGGAACAGCTGCCAGACTCTGGGAGCACAATCATGGAATTAAAGGTGGAACTCGGAATGCCTGACCGGCTGTTTGATACCGGGCTGTCATGATCCAGCGAGAGGCCATGACTGCGTCTCTGGACACCCCCAAGGGAACAGGGAGACTGCCAGACAGCCCAGAGGAAAGCATTTCTCACATTGAGAGGTGGCCACTCAAGGCAGAGCAAGCGGAGGATACCCCTGGGGAGGAAACCAGGCAAAGGAGAGATGAACTAAGCCAGGAGTCTGGGCCTCAGGTAGAAGAACAGCGCTCCATGCCAGGCCAGGCCAAATATGATGGGATGGAGCTGAGAGCAAAGGCTGCATTCATGCAGGAGGAAGTTGCTCTAGACAGCCTCCCTGACCAACCCCCTGAGGATATAGAGATGAGACCCATAGCATTAACCGTAGAAAGCAATGAAGGTTCCCAGGGATTCACAGAACAGATGGAGGATGTTGTGAAGCCCTTCATGGAGGGACCGG